AATTTTTGATAATTTTTCAACAAGGGGCCCTACACTTTAATTTTGCCCTGGAGTCAGCAACTATGTAGCCAGTCCTGGTTATGAACATGGGAGTAAGTGGCTGAGGTAGGTGGAGGACAAGACCATTGGAGAAGAGTTTGAGGAACTGAGAAATTGGGGTGTTGGATAATCTACATGTGAAATGAAATTGCTGAAAATTTAGACAAGAATAGTGTTGGAGATAGTGACCGTGAGGCAGGAGCTAAAACCTGGAGAAATGAGTGGCAATAACCCAGGGGTCAGAGATGTCAACAGTGAGGGGTAGTAGGTGATAATCTAATGCAATGGAATTCAAAGCTGAGGATTTGGAGAAGGAAGGATGTAGCACTAAAGAGTTGTGATAGCAGGAGAACCCTGGCCTCACCTCCAGGCCCTGAAGGGAGAGAGCTGCAGGAGAAAGCAGCAGCCTTTCAGAGAGGTGCAGGGGAAGCGGTGTCCTGTGGGAGAGGGAGAGCATGTATCCTTCACAGCAAGAAGGTGATGGAGGATGATTAGAGAATAGGTTGAAAATATAGGAGATTTTGATGATGGTGGACCTTGAGTTTCAGAGAGCACAGAGAAAGGATTTCAGGAGTTGGGGATAAGATTTCAAAGCAGAGCCTTGTGGGGTTAGATTGTAGGAGATAAAGATAATCATGAGACTGGGGGTTCTTGTAATGACTGACAAACAGTGGTCAAGGGCATAACAAAATGAGCCCAGTGAATTGAAGGCATAGAGAGTGGCAGCAAGTCCGTGAATGCTGAAGAGAAGCTCCCGAGTCACTACTGGTGAAGGGAGCCAAAGGCCTAGGGCAAGCACGTTTTTCGAAAAAATGTTTAGTATAAATGCACACTGAAAAAAATCATGTTTCCTTTAAAAGTTTTACAAATAAATGACATTTATAAAATAAGTAGAACAGAGGACATTAAAAATAAATTTTGTTTACCCAATAATACCAGTCATACGTCTCAGACTGTTGCTGTAACAAAATACCATAGGCTGGGTAATTTATAAAAAAAAAAAAAAAGAAAGAAAGTTATCTCTGACAGTTCTGGAGGCTGAAAAGTCCAAGATCAAGATGCCAGCAAATTTGCCATCTGTTGAGAGCCTCTTCTGTGTTTCCAAGATGGCACCTTCCTGCTATGTCTTTCAGAGGAAATGAACTCTATACTCACATGGTGGAAGGAATGGAAGGGCCAGGCAACTCTTTGAAGCCTCTTTTATAAGGGCATTAGCCCCATTCATGAAGGCAAAGCCCTCATGACTTAATCACTTCCCAGAAGTTTCTACCTCTTAACACTACCACAATAGAATAAGGCATGAACATAAATTCTGGTGAGACACAAACATTCAGACCATAGCATCATATAAAACAGATACTAATATCACTGCTCTGAAATTTCCTACAGCATTTTTTGATAAACACTCCAAAATAAATACCTATAGCTATCACAAGTTTAATAAATCAATTTCCTGTAAATTTCCTGCATTACTACAATGCAGCTCCTTATTTCATTAAAAATACTTTTCAACATCCAGAAAATACAAATCAAAACCACATTGTGACATTATCCCACTCCAGTTAGACTGGCTGTTATCAAGATGACAGAATAACAAATACTGGCGAGGATGCAGAGAAAGTGGAACCCTCCTACACTGTTGGTGGGACTGTAAAATGGTACGCCTATTCTGGAATGTGGCATGGAGTTGCTTCAAACAACTATAGACAGAACTGCTGTATGATCCAGCAATCCCACTGCTGGGTATACACCCAAAGGAAAGGAAATCATCATGTCTAAGGGATACCTGCACTCCCATGTTTATCACAGCTCTATTCACAATAGCCAAGAGTTAGGAACAACCTAAATGCCCATCATCGGATGAGTGGATAAGGAAAATGTGGTATATTTATACAATGGAATACTACTCTGCCATAAAA